GCCGTATTGCAAAATAGACGACCATTTGGCTTATCAATTCAAAGTGAAGAGGAAAAAACAACAACACAAAAAAACACCAAAAAAGGTAAATTAACTAATTATACTATTTAGTCTTTAGACCTTTTCAAATCTTGCTTATTTAAGTCTGCAAAGTAATTGAATCTATTCACAGATGAGGAGCCATAAATAATGACGTCACACTTCTAGCGGGGTAAAGGGGGGGGGGGTCACATTTTTCTGATGATGTGTGACGTGAGGGGGAAAAAACAGATGAGGAGCCATAAATAATGACGTCACACTTCTAGCGGGGTAAAGGGGGGGGGGGTCACATTTTTCTGATGATGTGTGACGTGAGGGGGAAAAGGGGGGGGGGCGTTTAAGAAATGTGATGTTCCATTAAAAGCGGAACATCATAGTAAAAAAATACACCCAGTAAGACCAAAATTACAGTCCTTTTTAGCATTATTCCTTTATACAAAAATTATGATATCATTTTATTTTCAAAATTTCCAACCACGGTCACTGAGAGAATCAGTGCAGGAAGGCGAGGTCCGAGCAATGGCCTCAGATCAAGTTACAGAACGTCACGAAGGAGGAGAATATGTGTGCATTCTAGTGACTTTGTCAGTCTTCAGAAATGTCGAAATGGGAGAGATGGGACATGGGGGCTACTACATGGAAAGTGAGATGGGACGAAAAATCGTAGATTGGAGATAGGGGTGGAGTGAGGGGGTGATATTAGTAGGCTATATGTTCTAGGCCAGGGATTCTTAAATTTTTTCAGTGCTGCGTCTCCTCTCAACTTCTAAACATCCCCCCCCCCCAAAACGTATAAATTAAATAGTAATAAAACTTGAAAATGATTAAATTATTTATTTATTGTCGTTTTTATTTGTTTCATTAAATTTCTAGACACCCGAAAAAAAATTAACATTTCAAGTAATGCCCTAACTAAAATTACAACACGAAAAACACAAAAAAAAATAAAAAATTTAAAAAAAAAAGAAGAAGAAGAAAATTAAAACACATTTACTGCTGCTATTCAAAATGCGTAAAAGCTTATTTAAAACAACTAGCAATGACAGCAAATGAAAGCTTCAAGGCTGCCCTGGCATCTGCCAGGAGCTGTTAGAATAGCAACATCATACCCCCAACCGTTGCAAAGATGCCAGTACATGGATGCAGCAACGAAACACTACCAGAACCAGAACCAGAAATAACATTTATTTTCAGAGTCTTCCTCGCTACAGGGGGGGGGGGGTGCTTACAACCTTGTTTAAGAACCACTGTTTATTGGCTAATGTTTTGTTTCTGACACAGGTGCAATAAGTCCACACAGTAGTGTTACATCCTCTTTCGGGCTGAGATTCAATCTCTTACAGCCCTGGCTATTATTATGGCGGCCGGCCTCATCTGGTGGGCATCGTCGTAAATCGTAGTTTCAGGGCAGGCCTCTGGGTCTCGACCCTCCGCCCCCTTCCCACCACCGGGTCAGGCAACCACTAACTGGGCAACTGTCTCGTCTGTCTGGCCACAAAATCTGCAGTTTGGTTCCCTCCTGTCGTCCAGTCTACGGAGGTGCTGCGCGTCGCGCAATGACCTGTCCTCATCTGGGTGACGAGGCTCTGGTCACTTCGCTTTAGTATCCCTCAGGCTCGGTCGCGGCATTTTCCGGTAAAACTGTCTTCCAGATTCTTCTGCGGCCCAATCGCTTAGCCACTTCTCACGAAAGTGGTCTTTCAACCAAGCTGTGACTCCCAGCTGAGTCATTGGTTTGTCGGGTTGCGGCTGGGCCGCGCCTTCTTTGGCCGAAAAGTCCGCCCTCTCGCGCTGCGCCACCCCAACGTGCCCAGCGATAAACTGCTGGATTACTTTGCCGCCTTTGGCATGAATGTTACCTACTGTCTCCAGAATGGCGTTTGCCATCGTCCGGAAAGTTTTTCCTCTTAGCTAGGCGTTGGTGGACTCTCTTGAGGGCAACCAGTATTGTTTCGATCTCCGCATCGAGGCTCGTTCTAATTTTCCCACTGGGTCTGGATAGCTCCTCGGGTGGAGCTATCTCTTTGGGGTATTGGATGAGAGCACCATAGCCACTGCGTTCTTCCCTGGCGAAGCATGAGCTATCTGTTGAGACTTTAACCAGGCTGTCTGGGTAAGCATCAATCGTTTTTTGCAATGCATCTAATAGTTCTGGTTGAGAGATGGCTTTGGTGGCATTGATGTTCGTCATGGCGAGATGTATGTCAGGTCGGGTAAGACTTTCTTGGGGACCCCGTGCCGGTATCCCCTTAACTCTCTCCCTGCTTTCGGGTAGTGCCAAGTCTCCCTCAAGACTGTGAACCGTATCCATAAAGGAGGTCGTTTTAATTTGGACTTCTTTACCCATTTCTCCTGTAATTGAAAGCAGGGGGTTCCTGTCTGCCCATACGACGGTAACGCTCCACCGTCGTTAGGACTGCCTTTTCCCGTCTAAAATCGAATGGTTCGACGTCTGTCAAGATTTCCACCGCTGCCTTGGGTGCTGTGCGTATCGCCTCGCAAACAAACCTCAGAGCTCGGTTTTGGATGCGGTCCAGGCCCTCTAGAGCCGTGCGACTTGCGAAGCTCTTAAACGTGAGGCTGTGGTCCATTGCCCCTCTTGGGCTACAGAGGTAAAGGGACCTCAATAGTCTTGCGTCTGCACCCCAATCAGTGCCGGCCAGTTTTTTCACCAGGTCCAGTTTTTTGTGAAGTTTTGGCACACAGTTCGTGTATATGGTTGTGAAGCTGAAGCTTCCGATTCAACTTCACGCCCAAAATAAACTAGAGTCCGGCCCCATTTCAAATCTTTGCCATTGATGGTTAACTTCGTATCCACTTTAAGTGCATTCGTGTATATGGTTGTGAAGCTGAAGCTTCCGATCCAACTTCACGCCCAAAATAAACTAGAGTCCGGCCGCATTTCAAATCTTTGCCATTGATGGTTAACTTCGTATCCACTTTAAGTGCATTCCGCCCATTCGTGAACATCGAGCCAACCGTCTTGTTCGTATTCACAACCATTTCCCACCTATTCTCATAGGCTTCGATTCGGTCCAGGTCGTGCTGCAGCCAGCTCGAAAGACTTCCTGGGCAAGGGACGTGGTGACGCAAAACCACTTTCTGAAGGAGGTGAAGATTTCTGCCCAAACCTAAAAATTATATGGCTATTAAAACTAAAATCTACAGTAGTGGACAGATGTATTTTTTAAGGGTAATGGTTACAGAGCTTTGTGACGTTATATTAGGGGGAAAAAGGGGTGGGTTAACTTTTTGTGACGATGGCTGGGGGGGGGGGTTTGCGGGACCTCATTTATGGATGGCCCCAGATAGATTCTGTTACAAATTTTAAATGCAATTTTTTTTACTTTTAAAGCTGTTGTTTCCTGGCGATTTTAATTGATTTTAATAATTCAAAAGATCTGTAAGTTAAGCAAATACGAACTTGTGTGCCTTATTATTCATAAATGATAGCTTATTATTATAAGGACTAGAAACTTTCAATATACTATACTACATGGCATATAAAGTTTGTTCCATGTTTGGAAATAAAATATCAAATATGTTTTCTTTAAGCATTAGCTGATGCAGCGTTGGTCTAATTTTTATTTTTTTATTTTTTAAAAGTCGAATACGGTGAAAAGAATTCAGAATACAATTACTCTTTTTGAAAAGAAAACCTAATTTGCTAACTAACTCTTTTCAAAATGGCTGCTGTCACAACGAATCTGGGTATAATACTAATTGCTCAAAGTATAGTAGGCCATAAACATTGTCATTAAAGTCATTATAGACGTGGTAAGCATTTACTCCTTGACTTGCCGGGTATCATCATGTTTCTGTAACACATAAAAGGTCTCAGTCCCTATTCATTATTATTAAGGTGGTTAACAGATACATTTACTAAATGATAGGTACTTGGATAAAATTTTCAAATTGAATTAATTAAAAAATGAACACACCCGTAAGATAGCTCTTGTTAAATGAAGTAATAATATGTTTTCATTTTTCATGTAGCGCTTTTGGTTAAAAAGTTATGATTTTTTTCGTGAATAAAAACTCACTTTTTTTAACATAGACATAGAGATTTGTGACCTCTTTTCAAAAAATTTTCACGAAAAGGCTGATAACTTTATAGCAGAGTAAACAAATATTATGAAACTTTCCAGAAGTGTTCATCATCATATTAGCAACATCTTTGCTGATTTAAAAACTAAAAAAATTAAATATAATATTTTAAAAATATTTTTAATGTCATTATAAAAACTTCCACAAAAAAAAATTAAAAAATTATTTAAAAAAAATTAAGACCAAACGTAATTTATTTTTAAAAAGGAAATATAATAGAGGCAATATTACAATAAAAATTATGATTTAACTTGAAATGGAGCAGTATCTGATAAAATATTACTTAATATGTCTATTATTGTATAGATATTGAAATAAAACCTAATATTAATTAAGATGGAACTTGATTGCTTAAGGCATAAAAAATGTCTTGGGCTTTCTTATCTGTCAACTATAGTTAAATAATACTGTTTCCGGTTTGTCACTTTCGTTTTCGGCCATTTTTTTTTTTTTTTTGAATTTTTAGACCCGTTCTGGCCAAAAATAACATTGTTATGGCCATCTTAGAGACTTGAAATTTTACATGGTGATATTTTATACAATTTCACAGGTACACCAGGTCGATTTAAAATGGGACAACGAATAGTTTTCAAAATATTGATAAATTAGACTTAGCTGCTTTCTCACATTTTTTTTTATTTACGACATACTGATATTACTGAAAACAAAATGGATGTCGTTAAAGCCCGTTCATTAACGTAACTAGAACAGTAATTCGTTCGTTGATCCGACGTTTCTAGCGCGAAAAAATAATTTTTTAGTGAACCCTATCATCCAGCACATCAAAAAAAGCGTCTGAAAACCCTATGGGCCGCGATTACGTCAAAATAGCCTCATATCCAAGTACCTACTCATTTACTTTCAAAACAATACAATAGTAAAGAATCGAAAGAGTTAAGAGCTTGACCTCACCTACCCATGTACCTTTACCCCAGTCTAGCCATGGACAGAAGCATTTAGCTTTGTTTATCAGTAGGGGAGGGGGGTGAGAATGAGCCAGTATAGTATAGTACAGTTTGAAGAGATGGGTCTTGAGGGCAGTTGAAGGCTGGGATGGGTGGAATATTGCTGAGGTGTAAGTGGCGGTAAAAGTGCAGTTCAGGTGCGTATATTATTTCTGTTTGAATCTCTTATTTTCCCGTGTAAACTTATGTTAATTCTTTATAAAAAGTATTTTAAAAGTTATATAACCATCTTTTTATTGGAATACAACAACAATTTAACAAATTTTACGAGATAAAAAAAAGTACATTTTTATGAATCTTTCGTGTTTTACGGAGCCATTGTGGTAAATCAAGGATAACTCTTCTGTCTTTAAATAGACTTTATAAAAGTTGCCCAATTGGATGAATCTTGTTGAAATAAATGATGTATTTATTTTATAACTTTACTATCAACTATAACTATATGCCTGGGGCTGCATTCAGACAAAAACATCTGTTCCGTCCTTTTAGTTAACATTGCTATTAAACGAAATGTCAACAACAAGACTATAGTAAAAATAATAATAATTAATTTGTCTCCTTTTAAAAACAATTAAAATAACTTATGTAAACCTTTCGTTTTTCCCGTTTTCCGATGGCACCCGGAAGGATCATGATGGGATCCCGAACCCGATGTGATTCCGATAGAATCCTGGTCATGGTGGGATCCCGATCCCGGTAAGATACCGATCCCGGTGAGATCCGTTTCCGGTGGTATCCCAAACTAAATGAGATCCCAATCCGGTGGGATCCCGTTTCGGTAAGATTCCGATCCCGATAGGATTTTGATCCTAGTGAGATCCTGATCCCGGTGGGATTACCGTGAGTTAATCCAGATTATCCAGTGGGTTACCGATCCTGGCGGGATACCGGTTACGGTGAGATTCCGTTTCGGGTGATATGCAGATCCCGGTAATTATGGGGAGCTCACATACTTGACCCAGCTTACAAGCCACATTGCAATTGTTACGAGTGCCTTAGGAGAAATTCCAGTTGTATTAACGTTATTTGTTGCCCCACAAGGTGCGCGTTTAAACCAAATGCTGCACCATTAAAAATGCCTGTTGCATCAACAATTTTAGTTATTGTTTCTTGGTCGTCCTGCAATTTTAAACAAAATGATCCTACAACCAGCAATACCGCAAAGCCAAAACGAGTCCATCTTATAATATAAAAAAAATAATCACTAGCCCTCACTTTACTCAGCGCAAATCAGTCACCAGTAATAAGCGCATTTGCATACGAAAAAAGAGGAGGGGGTGCTCAAATTAGAGCTGACCAATCACGGACAGCGTATTAGCAGCCTTCAGGGTGATCAGCTTCACACCAGGTCCAGGACAATGATGACGTGTGTGTCCACTGCTTAGTCAGTGATCCACTTCTAATCTGCCCCCCCCCCTTCCCCGACTCGACTTCAAAGGACAACCCCTATATTCCGAGCTCTCTGAGAGGGGAAAAAAAGAAAGTGGGGGGGGGCGCGCTTGTGCGTAATGAAGAATCTAGTATTTCATTCTTTTTTGTGAACATGCTTAGTTTGAAAATTTCGTTTAGCATACTAACTTATAGGTGGCTAAAAATCTGGCATAGCGTAAAAAGAAAAATACAAACAAATGGGGGCTGTGACACTTTGGTTGGGGGATGTTTAAAGACTCTTTAGAAGTAAAATAAAAAGAAAAGATGCGATTTATAATCCAGAATTAGTTAACTATAACTGCCTGTATTTAATTATTAAAGAATACACGTAAGTTTACATGATAAATTTTTTTTTAAATACGAAATGCGCTAAGAAATAATATACGCACCTGAACTGCACTTTAACCTAAGTGGCTTAGTAAGTGAAATGGGAGAGAATTCCATTGTTTGGGGGCACAGAAAGAGAAAGATCGTTCACCATATGATTTAGTACGTGTTCTGCGTACAGAAAGAATATGCATGTCTGCAGGGGAACGAAGCTTGCGAAGGGGTGAATAGACAGAAAGAAGTTCAGTAAGATAGAAAGTAAAGGGGAGGAACCAGAGACAAATTTTTGACGGAGAACAGACAGCTTGTAATCAATGCATGCCTGAGTATAAGGAGCCAATGTAGTGAGTGAAGTAGTGGAAAGACGTGATCAGATTTCTTTGCCACTTTAGAACTAACCTAGCAGCTGAGTTTTGAACTTTCTGCAGTTTTTATGAAATGTAGTATTGGTGAACCTGACAGAAGAGAGTTATAATAGTCAAGACGAGAGAGAACAAGAGCACAGACTAGTGTTTTTGTTGTGCAAACTGTGATGCGGATTTAGGGATTGAATGGGCCCAGGCTTCTGAATAATGAATGACGCAGAAAGCTATTAAGAAATTTTAGTCACGTGAGACGTGTCCCAAAAGGACCTATTATCGATAAAGGTTGTTTTTGTAGTAAATAATTTGATATACACTGGAAATTCAGCATATTACACCATAATAATTCATTTTAAAACAAAATAACTTAATTTAATACCACCAGGATATATTTTTAATATGATCTGATGCTTTGAGTTTGAGGTATTGTTTTGGGGAGTGGAATAAATAGCCCTTCATGCCTTAGCCTTATTATTATTACAATTAATAATATTAATATATTTATATTAGTTTTCTAGTATTTTAGTCCTAGAAGAGTACATTATATAGTATTATAAATATTGAAGTGGCTATTTGTACCCGGGTACCAGAAGTGAGAGGTTGGGATTAAAATCTTTTTAAAATTTTATTATTTTGTTTGTAAGACAAAATGAGGTATCAAATGAAAGATAATGAAAACACGCAGCGTCACCAATTGCACCCGCTTACCATTAGACTTAAGCTATTAGGATGTCATTTGTGGTAGTTTATTTTAGTTAAACTGAATATTAAGTTTACAAACATACAGTCCATTCAATTATCTTTCATTTGATACCTGCGTTTGTCTTACAAACCCAACAATAATATTTTAAATAGTTTTTTAATGCAAACCTCTTACTTCTGGTACCCAGGTATGAATAGTCGCCTTTAAGTATAGGCTTAGCCCCACCCCAACTTATTATTTGTAGGACCTATTGTTGTAATTTTATGTAATGCATTGAATATTTTAATGAATATTATGATTCTTAAGGCATAAATTAAATTAAAATGTAAAAAACTATTCACTTTGACCCCTCCACCCAAGACAAAAATAAAAAAGGAGGACAAAAAATTGGATCAAGTAAATACTTTTAAACACAGAGCTAAAATTCAAAGTCTTTAGAATTTGCAACTAAAGCTGGAAGTTGATCTGGCTTACTCCATGACTTAAATACCAAAGAATACGTCGCACTCCTTAACACTAACCTAATCCTAGCACAAGCAGTTGCCCAAAAGCAGCATATAACAAGAAATGCTAGTTTGCTGACATCCTTGGTATCATTAATACTAACTGTAGATGATATATTAATTATACATATAGGCTAACAGTTACTCCTCTACGCAAATTGTCATTGCTAAATGACAAAATATGCCATTCTTTACGTTATAATAAAAGAATGCTAATATTTATAACAGTTTTAAATTTAAAGTATCATAGGCCTACTACATGGCATTTTCCTTTATTTTTTACACAGATTATTGAAAGATGTAAAAAATGATGTCCATCATAACAAGCCTACAGCTTAGATTTGGATTGAGAGAGCTGTTTTATGCAAGTCTATGCATTGTACTGGGTTACCTTCTCAGAGTACGTGATTCTTACTCTCTTAACCCAGTGTGGAGAAAGCGCAGTGAGGTCTCCAAGTTTGCCAATGGCAAATTCATGACTGATGCTGACCGGTGTCCATCACCTATAGTTACAGATTTGGAGGGAGACGGTGTCAATGAAATTGTACTTTTATCAAATGATTTGCAACATCTAAATGTTCTAGCAATGCCATCACCAAGTGAAAGAAATGATAGGACTTTGGCTCATGTTGTTGTTAAATACAGAGTAGCGCTTTTTCTGAATGAAAGAATGAAAGGACACCTCTCAAAGCCACATGTGATGAATGTAGGTTTTGTTGAGCCATATCTGTCCATAATGCAAATAAGAAAGCAGGTAAGAGAGAAGCAGAGTCCTGTAATGTTGAAGTTGGGGACTAAAATATTTTTTTTATCTGTGTACATAAAAATAAATTTTCTTTGTTTTAGAGGGTGGGGTTTAAATATTTATAGAAAAATTGATACACTTATCCTTTTAAAGCAGTCATTTTATTTTCATCAAGGTTTTCTAAATTTCTATAGAAAAGCCTCACTTTAAACGCTCTGACTGAATCATTTGTTGTTTCAATATTTATTTGACCCAGATAATAGTGGTAGTTACAGATGACTGGCAGGTATTGTGCTACAGCCACAATCTCAAATTACTCTGGCACCAGCAGCTTCAATTGCCAGTCTCTGGCCTTCAGGCTGTTGAAGTGAAGTCATTAGCAGTTTTGGTTTCCCCATTTTCCATAGAGAAAAAACATAAAGGTCTGGTGGTTGTTGCTGGAAGTTTCAAGCATAAATCTCATAAACCTGATATTTTTTCTGAGTAAGTTTACACACTAACAAACTTGTTTAAAAAATGATTAAGTCATTTTGGAAACATTAATTACATAAACCTAAGACTGTACTATACTATTGAAATGTGTTTAAGGTAAATATTAAAAAAAGATATGGAAGGGGGGGGGGTGTGTTTAAAATTGACAATTTCTATTTCAAGTGAAGTTGCTTTTTTTTTTTTAAATTTCAGATTGAAAAAAAGGGAAGACCATTTGATAAGAAATGGCACCTTAAAAGAACATTCAGAACCAGAGAATGAAACATTAACTCAATTTTCTACATTTGCTTTTAGTGCTTAAGTTGGCCTTTTATACTATTGAAATGTGTTTAAGGTAAATATTAAAAAAAGATATGGAAGGGGGGGGGGTGTGTTTAAAATTGACAATTTCTATTTCAAGTGAAGTTGCTTTTTTTTTTTAAATTTCAGATTGAAAGAAAGGGAAGACCATATGATAAGAAATCGCACCTTAGAAGCACATTCAGAGCCAGAGAATGAAACATTAACTCACTTTTCTACATTTGCTCTTAGTGCTTCAGATGGCCTTTTACTTTGGAAGCATACAGCTGGTGATTTTGAGGAGACAAGCCTGGATAAAAAGGCATCTATCTTATCTAAATATATATATATATTAATAATAATAAATATTGCCCAAACATAAAATTGTTTAATGCGTCAGTAGGTGTTATCTATAATAGTCAAGGCTTATTTTCACTTTTTATTCTTTTGCCTTTATTTCAAAAATCGCTTACAGTTCATTGTGGTTTTTGCTCAAAGGTATATAAATATTTTATATTGACCTATTGTTCAAAACAGACAAATAGTATTGGTAATATTCACTGGAAGCTGGCACTACGTCACAAGAAAGCTCACAAAGGGGAATCACCATGGTCTGATTATGGTGACCAACTCAACCAATTTCTGGTAAGTACTAACATGTTGAAACAAAGTTTAAGGAAGAAAAAAAAAATTGTTGACAAATCATATTTCAGCGAAGGACGCCAAGTAGAACAATGGTGGATGGAGCGAACATGTTTTATTATTCACAAAGTGAAATTGCATTTTCTTACTTCAATATTTTGTGTGTGTTATGGTTAGTAATGATTGATGGTAATGAAGCATGTAGTGGTGGAAATACGGAATTAAAAAATAAAGATCAGCAAAATTTTATTACAGCTCTCATTGCGTAAATTAATCTTGTCAAATAAAATGAATGATGAATTATTTTTATTTTTTACATCAGTTTACTATGAGTTTTTTTTATCTTATTGGCATAGTACAGTGGTCGGCAAACTTATTAGTCAAAAGAGTAAAAAATCAGCAGCAGGCCGAATAAAAAAAATTTTGAGAGCCAAATTACTTTTCAAGAACCTGTCAAGAGCCATTTTTTTCGGAGTCAGTTTAAACTAGCTGCTAAACATTAAATACAACCAGATAATAATAAAAATCTTATGTATTGAAAAAAAATACAAAAGATGCATTTAATGTAGGGTGACGAAACATCCTGTAAAAACGGGATTGTCCCATAAAATTAAAAAGGGGATTGTCCCGTTTTTTCACGATGGTACCGTTGTCCCCACAAAGTCTCATGGGGCACCTAAATGTCCTGTTTTTTTTAACCAAACACATTTTCTAATCACTAAAACTTTCTAATTTATAATATAACTTCAAATAATATTTTGGCTAGCTGTGTTGTGATGTGGACTAGCTTGATGGCTGCACCGTTCCCTTTCCTCCACCAGTGTCCCTGCCATAAATTTTATATGTAAATGTATAGCAAAAGACATGAGACTTGAAGCCGCAGGGGGTGGGGGGAGGATGTAACTGTGCAGAAAACTATTTTGATTCCACGACCGCTACGTGTAATATGTTAGTCTTGTGTGTGTGATCCCTGCCGGTGTGTTCGAGTCAGAGTGACAGGTGGTTTTTTTTGGGTGTTGAACTTTATTCTTTAATTTTATATTATCTTCTCATGTAAACAATAATTATGCCCAAGCGTCAATGTAAGTTTATGGATGAGTATTCCAAAGAGTGGAACTATATTAAAAAGGGTCGCTATAAAAGTGAAGCCTAGTGCACATTTTGCAATAATGTTTTTAGTAATAGTCATGGTGGACGTTCAGACATAAAACAACACATCACATCCGTGATACATAGGAAAAGACTGAGTGCCCCAAGTATATTTCTAGGTTAGATTTTATAGTTAAAATTAGCATATTTCAATAAACAGTTCCTGGACCCCTCTTTAACTGGAGGGTATTTCCCCCCCCCCCACCCACGAGAAAAGATAACCACAACAAAACAACTGTCCTTGAGAGCGTCCCGTTTTTTCCAAATAATGATTTGGTCACCCTAATTTAATGTAGCACCTTGAATTTCCTTGGAAAGTTTTTATAATTCTGGTTTGTATGTCGTTTTTAATTTCAAGCAGGATTCTAGATTCTCATCAGTAAGACGATTTCTCAATTTATCTTTGATGAGGTTCATGCTTGAAAATGATTGTTCGCATGAATACGTAGAGCGAAAGAGCCGCACTCAGGTCACAATCCGTGATTTGCCGACCACTGGTATAGCAAATAGAAATTTATGTTTAAACATTTATATTGTGTTAAAATTTGTTTAAAATACAGCCTCATCTTTGGGCAGACAACTCGGACACAGAAATATTAATGGCGAGAGTCAATAAGCAGTTTGGTAAAACGACCAGAGAATCTCAGGATCTACAGGATAGACTGACAACTCCTCCAGCATCAGCTTTGTCGCCTGAACATTTTATTGGGTTTGCATATGGTGGTCAGAGGCCTCATAGTGCTCATGAACATGTGAAAAATCCTAACAGGTACACAGCATTAATCTACAATTGATAATTTTTAATTATTTTAATTACCCTTAATCTTATGATCTGATTAGTTATGGTACTGGCGGCCATCACGTGGGCCCTGCAACCACTTTGGCTGCATGGGGTCTCGTAAATATATGAAAAAAGGGGCCAAAAATTATGATGTTGAAAAAAATTGACTGTCAACTTTGAAAACAGAAAAGTGGCTCTGGCCTCCGAAATGGAAAAGCTTAAAACTATTTAAAAAGTCATACTCTCAGTGGCGGTGATTAGAATTAGAGTATGATGTAGAGGAACGTTGTACAACTTTTTTTTGAGAGGAGAGCTAGAAAAATGTATGCCACAGTGAGTCAGAAGTTTACCACCATCTGAACTATATTATATAGATGTAGTCATTAATGACATATTAATTAATTAGGGAGCTATTGACATCACTGGCATATTGCATAGATATATTAATTCAATGACCTGTTGGGGGTGAATCACTCAGGAAGAAATTCAGTTTAAGAGTTTCAATTAGTTTTCCTTCCACCAGAAATGTGTATGGGGAATTTTAGCAGTTGATATATTTTCTGTGCAAGAAAGAATTCAAATGACAAACCCTTTCCCCCCCCCCCCCCCCATAACAGCATTGTCATTAGATCTCCACAAGGTCTTCAAGTTTTATCCTTGGTCACTGGTCAGCCAAGAGCAACACTGCATTTTCCAGCTGACCGATCTTTGTATCTGGATATGGACAAAGATGGCCATATGGAGAAGATGGTTTGGGATTTGGGACAGGTAAATGAACAGTCAGTAGTTCCCAGCCCTTATTAATCTTCCTTTTAAAGTGTCAATTTTTGTATTCCTATGAAGGTTAACAATAATTATTGTTGCTTTTTGTTCCAATGTAATACTTATTGGATCAAAGAGTCGTTAAAGGATTACTTTAAATATAGTTTTAGTGATGATGTCTATTGTCTACAACTTGGCTAAATCCATTTATATTGTCTTTCGTTTATGCGTCTGATTGCCCTCCCCCCACCCCCTATTTTCAGCTTTGTTTAAAGATATTTGCTAAAATTGAAGTTTGTTGGATTCCTCAATCCAAAAACTCATAGTGGCAAGTCGATGTACTAGTTTTGTGCCATCATTGCTGAAGTTATGATGACGCATTTTTTATAGTACCCATAATACCTTCCCATTTATAATATGTACTTTTAGCACTACACCCCTTGCTATCTGGACATCTGGCGAATCACCCCAGTACAAGAAAGGCTAGAGCAAATATCTTTGTGCGCCAGTAAGCGGTTGTTTTGGACACGTTCATGGAGCCTGGAAGAGGATATTTATAAGAAAATTCCACCAAAAATCATAAAAAGGTTAACTTGACATAGCATGCATTTTTTAGGTTATGGTAGGCAAACGAAAGTAGTGCAAACTATGCATTAGCTTGGATATAAGACCATTTAATGATGTTTTTAAATAAAATTTGTTAAATCTCTCATTTTCATACATTTTTTTGTTTTGCACACTTAGTTTAGCAAGAAAGACTGGTGTGTTGCGTCACTTTCTGGGACATAACTTATTCGAAGACAACACTTACGACATAATAACATTTGGTGGTTTGGGGCGTGTGAGCTCTATAGGTTTAGATGGAACCATTCATTGGCAGGTAATAGTAATAGTCTCGATGTTCAGCTGAAAAATTGTAACCATTTATATTTTAGTAAACTCACCAAACAAGTCAGCAATGTCAGCCTACTTATCTTATACCTTGAATTAGATATTGAAATAATAATTCTCTTTGGTATGCATTTCAAACCAGCTCAGTGCTTGAAAAAAATCTTCAAGACTTTTGCCATGACCATAAATCATTGCACATTTCTTGAAATCAGTTGCATAAGAGTGGCATTCAAATAGTTTATTGTTAGGCTTAAAATTGTGCTTATTCAATTTTTTTTTTTTCTGTTGGTAGGTACTAAATTAAGTTGAAATCAACAGGTTTATCTAAATTATTATTGAGGTACTTAATATTTCCGACAATTATTTTCTATTTGATTTACAGACATTGACTGAATCAAAATGGGGAGATATATCCATGAGTCTTCGCCGCTCAGGTGGGCGTCAGTTGTCTGACTCCATTAAAGAAGAGTTCCTCCTTTCTTTTCAACCAGGAAGAGTCATAATGCCATTGCAAGAAATGGGAGCAAAGGTGCTGCATTGACTTTTTTAACCCTATAATTTTCATACCCCTTTCAGTGATGTCACGGCTGATTTAATCGGCCGCTAGCAAAATCGTCATTAAAAATGCAAATGTTTTCATGCATATTGTTTAAGGGGAAAGCACTCTATATAAATGAGTTGGCTTCCCATTTCCGTTACTATCAGTTTGTTTACATGCTTTAATTGAGGTTTTTTTTTTTGTGTTAATTGGGTGTGAAATTTTATCAAATTTTTTTACCTCAACAATGTCTGATGCCGGAGAAGCCCCCCTTAAATTTAAAAATTAACACAGAATTTCTTTATTGGAATTATTTCTATAATGTATTAAAATGAAAGCAAAGATTTCAGAGATATTCCATGTGCTAGTAATGCCAATATTATCTCTAGCAGTGATGTCGAGATAAGTCAGATATTGACAATTTTATTCCTAAGCATTGTCGTATTGTTACAGACAATTCTTTTGGGAATGGGTGGAAAAAAAGACACAGATTTGATCCCAAGGATCTACCCCAAAGATATTTTTGTTTGTGTATGTTCTGGAGTATTAATTAATAAAAAATTGATTTAATAACTTCAATTGAAAAGGAATTTTTAAACTCGTTACGTTCCTTCCCCCTTGTATTTTGTATAACACAAATTTGAAGGTAGTGAATGAAACAATTCACCACTATCACAATATTCAATGTAAGCAACTATAACTTGACATTTTCTGAAAGAATATTGCTTCTAGTATTTCAAAATTGTGAATTTAGGATATTTTGAACAAATTATGGAGTATTTAGGGTGGTTTGAATTCAGAAGTTGAGTACTAAACTTTTACTCACTCTATAAAGGTCAATATCATTAACAACATACATTATATAAAAACAAATTATTTTCATATCATAAGATACCAATGTACTTTCAGAAAAGTATACTTTTAAGAGTCTCTGAATTCATTTAGTCTGGGATTTTGTCATTTTTGAGAAGCAGATGGTATTGCTAAAAATGACTTGACGCTATAGAAAAAATTAAAATGTTCTTGACAGTTATATGGTTAAATAAAGTTTTATATTATGATAAAGTACGTGTTACTTTTAATATTTAAAAATAAGAATATTCCCTAGGGATATAGTTCAACCATTTTAGGTGGTGCCGGTATTTATATGTTATTAAACTTGCATCCTGCGGATTCTAAAATGTTATATGTCTGAGGAAACATAGTGGTATTAACAAGTAAAAAAGCTAAAAAATATCTCTTACTTCATTAACTCTTATTTTACCTTCTTAACAAAACCATCAACTATTTTTCTTTTTACAAACAATTTAGATTGCAGTAGCAGTGTCAGGATGGAATACATTGTCAATTGTAGACCTTGTGGAAGGAACACTCCTTGCTCAACATTCCATACCCGCTCCATCAACTGGTCCCCTGGTCTATGGGGATTTTGATAATGATGGTATAATGGACATCATACTAACATGCAAGAAAGGGTAAATAATTTTAACGCCTACTATTGTGACACAAGACTCGTCTGTTGGTTTATTAAAAGAAAAATCTAAAATTTCTGGACGTAACAAATGAAGCTCAGTTTGCTGGGAAATAAAGAAGCATTAACTTTATTTATAACTAAGGCTCTCACGGGGGTACCCGCCTGAAGCTACCTGCTCTGGCAATTCTTGGGTGCCAAATTTTAAGAAGTTATTTAAAAGATATATAAAAAACCATAAAATTTCTAATGAGAATTATGTTATCGTAACCCTCTACTGCCATTAGCACCCTCTGTTGTCACCAAAATTCCTACCAGTGCATGCCTACTACCCTGGGTGGTGGCACGTCAGTCGGATCTTGACGTTTGATGCTCGTTCGGGGCAGGTAGCAAATAAGCTACCACACATTCATCTGTTAAAATGTACTGCTGCTCTTGTGTATGTTTCTATCTTTTTTCGTTAAAAAGTTATGAGAGATCAGCATGTCTTTTCAAGCTCATAACATATGTGACAACATGCCAAGTTGATTAGACTACCAGGTTTAGACAGTGAAACAATCTAACAGATCAATGTAGAATTTATTTAAATTAAAGTAGAAAGTAATAGTGATGATCTCATAGTTGAAATTATATCTGAAGCAGACTATAAAAATCAATTTTAAAGATAATGAATATTAAAACCAGCTGGTAGATAATAAAACCAGCCATGACCAGGATGATGGCCGGTGAACTTTATGACCTGCTACATTTCCTAAAAACTTGTCTGCTTCTGGGGGTACCCAGGCAGGTGTTTTTACATTTTTTGATAGCCCTATAACTTATTATAAATTTATGTATGTAGGAATAGAAAACGGTTTGGCCTTCTTATTTATTTTTAGTGATTTGTGGAGTGAGCATTTCGAATGTTGGGAGTTTACACCAGAGTTAGACAGGGGGGGGGGGGGGGGGGGGGGGTGTTAAGCGTGGGGATGTTAGGTGTATAGGGATGGTCACAGCAGAGTTAAGAAACAGGCCTAAATCAAATTTGAGGCTAATAGCAGTTGTCTTATTTATTATTAAAATAAAATTTAGCATCCTGCCCATGAATAAAAATTGGAAGCACATTTTTTATATTAATACATTTCAGAACTGGATTTAAAAAATGAAAGAAAATTCATATGGTATAAAATTTGAAAAAATATGTGGTTTCTCAAAATACTATATTTGCCAGCCTACAGGGCACAGCGGCTTATAAGTCACAGCTCTAAATTTTTATACATATTTTAAAGAAACAAATTCTGTTACAGCACCCCATATTTTAGGTGTATTTTGAGGGGGAAAAGTGCACCCTATATGAGGGCAATAATTATGATATACAAAACAGTTTTTTTTTAAAAACACCACTGTTTCACAAACAGTTTAAAATAAAAATAGTTTGAAGGGTTTTGAAAATTCCAACTCTAAACTTATTTGTATGTTGCTATGGCAGTGGAGGGTAGTCTGAAAATATTGTGGATGCAACACTGGCAGTGGTCTCAATAATAGGACATTTTTGCATATGTAATATCTTAGTTTATGACAGTCATATATGACCGCCGTCAATGTTTCCTTTTCAATACTTTCATCACACACAACCCCAAGTAATTAACAGTTTTTAAAGTATGTTTAAGAGAGTGTTAGAATAATTAATCATAACTGCTTATGTTAAAATAAAAATATGTCTTACATAATAAAGAATCATAAATCCTAAATTGGATAAATTAATTATCCTTTTTAGATGTATATTTTTTTTCATTTTAAGAGTCATTAAAAATCTTTTCTTTAATGTTCAAAACTAATTCTGAAAAATTATTTGGAACTTTTTATGTACCTTTGAATATATTATTTGATTTTATAATATATATTATAAATAAGCTGTTTGATAAAGCTATTTTTTACATTCCAGATATATTGGATTTTCACTGAAGTTACAACACAACTATGAGTTAACTGTCCTGTACACCATTTCTGTTTTTCTCATCATCATTCTATTTTCCTGGTTAATCTCGACATCTTCAGAGAATGACAAGGACAGTGATAAAGATGATGACATTGAGGATGATGACGAAATTATAGGAGGAGATGATAAAATTATTAAGATTCATTCACAAAATCTTTTGTATAATTAATATTGATGTACATGCTGTTAGGGGTCGTCCATGCTGCTTAAGGCGTCTTTGTGTAATCCTCTTGCTGATCAGTTTGATAATTGTAAAAAAAAATTACAATCATAAACCACAAAGAATTTAGTAAAAATTTCATAAGGGAGATCAATCTATATATTTGGTTGTTATTATCCACAAATGTAAACAAAGCAAGTTTTTTCTCTGATTCACTTTAAACAAATGATTTATTTAGGGGTCATTTGTACATAACATACTCCCAAAAAAAAAATGTTAGGAAACACACACACAACACACCCCCCCCCCCTTAAATAAAAAAATTATTTAATTAGGGGTCATTTGTAAATAACATACACCCAAAAAAAAAAATGTTAGGAAACACACACACAACACACCCCCCCCCCCCCTTGATGCATCCATCCTTTTTTCGGCTCACCCAATCTTGGGCAAATTGGGTTTACATTAAAATTAAGGATGCTTCTGTGAAAGGAAAGACTACAATTTTGAAGTACTTTGTGACAGTAATTTATTTGTGAAATGTTTAGTAAGAGAAATGGATTGAATGAATAAAAGAATTAGTAAGGATGTTTTTATATAAATATTTGCAATAAACAATGTTACAATTTGTAAATTGTTTTTATTTTGTATTCAAAATTTATGGAAAGGAGATTATAATAAAGTATCATATGTACATATTATTTTATTATTATTAATGAAGTTAATAAGCTATTGATGACAATAAAACAAAAGGAAGATACTGCAAAATCCGAATTGTTACAGCTTCCCCCCCCCCCCCACACAGACACACCCTTACTGGTTATAATAGAGCACGTGTCAAACTCAAAGCCCGCGTGGTCTTGACCGGCGTACAATTATATCTACGTCAACACTATGGTGTTTCCCAATGCACAATTTGCTGAAAAACTTGGCTTACTTCGGGCTGAGTTCGCACAGGGCTTTAGTGACTTTGAAGCACTGAAATGTAATTTCGAGCTGTTTCGTAAGCTATTTGTCATAGACAAGGAAACTACACCTGTAAAATTGCAGAAGGAGCTAATAGAGCTGCAGTGTAATGGAACACTAAATGCAAACTATGACACTGCGGGGCCTGCACAATTCACTCGTTTCATTCTTAAGAGATGCCCCAGCTTTGTGTACACGCGGCTCGAACCTTGAGCATGATGGGTAGAAAATATCAATCTCAATGACACAGAACTTTACTCCCAACGAACTTTTGTAGCCAAGAAAATGAGCCAAACATGCAGCTCTGAGAAATTGGCATAAGAACGAAAATGGGTATGCCAATGATTTTTAATTCTTAAAACTTTTTTCTGTTTTCATTTATATAAATGTTTTGTTTTTTTTTTAAAAAGATTAATTTTCCGCTTATTGAAAGTTGATCCTGTTCGGCCCACAACCTTACATGTGGTTTGAGTTTTGGCCCGCCGAGCGATTGAGTTTGACACCCCTGCGAAAGAGGGTTATGAGGTACTCTTCTTATACCATATAGCAGCAATTGTAGGCAGGTACTATTCTTATACCAAATAGTAACAATTATAGGCAAAGTAAAATCTCTCATTAATGAAATTAATATTATTACATTTTATAAAATCATATACAATAACTTTACAAGTACTTTACACAAATTAATGAACAGAAGAGCTTAGCCTTCAACATAATCTCAAACACCATTATTTCAATCAGCCCTATGGCATAGTGGTAAGAATGCGAATTCTTGTTTGTAAAGGTTGACAACGGCTGTGGGTAAATTGCTGGTTGGAATAGTTTTATTAGCCAAGTAAAACAGCTATCCTTATAATAAAGAAATTACACCCTTACTTTAAAAAAAAACCTCAAAAGTCATAACATCAGCCAGCATGGATTGGGATTAAAAACCAGCTGGCTGTTCAAAAATAGTACAATTACATATAATATATAAGACCCAGCTTCAGGAATAAATCCATGATATACAAATTGCATTAAATATTTCAGTTCAATAAATACAATTTGTGCTAAATTCAGATTTCATTTCCTTCTGAATTTCCTGTAAAGTGTTACGGTATCTAAAATTTTTCACAAATAACTGTTCTATGAACTGCTTGTAACTAATGTTACTGATAATCAGAGTGAAGGAGATCACAGTTAAGGGGTCATACATATATAAAGTTATCACTGTAAACCAAGTTAAAAAATTATGGATCAGGTTTTCTTCCTTTTTTGCTTCTTGGTGCAGCTAATATCAAAGTCAGTGCATTTATTGTATCTTGAGTGACAATTTATAAATAAAGTTAAAAAAAAAAAAAACTTGGTTTCAAAGGATGGATTAAAGTGGTCACTAGGCTAAATCTTACTGTTGCTCGGGCCAGTGGTGAGGTATCAAGTTTGTCCACAAAATTGTTGAAGATTTTAGAATATTTGTCAGTAAATTTAATTTTATTGAGTAGGCAGCCCTGGTGAGTACAAAATATACGATTGGCCCTCACTTAAGCTAATATTGAAAAGTTTGACAATGGCAGCTTAAATCTAAAATAAGCAACTGAATGATCAGGCATCAAACCTGTTATTTTAACCACATTTAACATTCAAAATAAAAATGATAAATACCGGTACTTCAATTACATTTGAAATAAAATTTCTTATTTCAAGGAATTTACATGCTCAGGGAAACGTCACAAGAACATTACCCACCTGTAATACGGTACACAGGTGATGAGGGTTTTCATGAAACTGCTAGTGATTGCTGGTTTGTTTACCACATTTTTTAAATGATAATACTGTCCTCGACAGTTCTCTCGCAGTGTCTCCAAAAATTCTCTAACTCTTTTTTTTTTTTCCAGAAGAGCAGAATTCTATACATTGAAAGACACACAAGTCTGAAGTTGGTGTAAGTAGATTACCATCTGCTTCCCCATTACTATCAATGTGTTCATGAGCATCGGGCATGTATGAGTATGTCTTAGGTTGAACTAACACAAACACACTTCAGGTCACAATGTTGCCAGGATCCTCATGAAAGATATAATGATGACTATGAGTGTCTGTCCCACACCCCATACCAGTGCATAGAATGGCATCATTGCAACGTTTGAGGCTCTGTATACTCCAGCAATGGCTGCACCTGAACAACAGAGAAAGAAATACAGAAAAACAAATATTAACAAACTTCCCGTACAAATATCAGTTGTGTAAAAGGGGGTTGGGGGCGGTGGAGGTAGTCTGTCTGGGCAACACTTTTTTCTTTATATGGAGGGGGATTTTTCGGTCAACTGCAGAGTCTTTTTCATGGGAAAACAAAGGGAAGGGGAGCAAAATTTTCGGCTGCCCCAGGGCTGAGGTGGGACTAAGAGCAGTTGGAAATAACCACTTATCTACAAAGTAGGGTTGCCAAATGTCTGCAAATTTACAATAATTCATCAAATTTGACTTAAAATGACTTGCAGCAGTAAGAATTTGAGGATGTCCATAAAAAAAATGAGACATCGGAATCTTTTGAAGGGATACAGCAGGATAAGGGGTTGGTTGTCCATTAGGGAATAATAATACTACAGAAGGAAATGATAACAAGAGTGCACCACATTTTTTTTAAAATACCATTTAGTGAAAAATTAACACAAATTTCAAATCAAAAAGTCTGACTGCCGATACTGCTTAGAGGACTTAATGTTTTATATGATGTAGCCCATTTAAAAGTATGTTTCAAAAAACTAGTCATCTCAGAAATGTATGCAATGTTAATGACAATATTGCTGCAAATATACAGATTTAATTACTGATTTGGTATGTTTTAGTACTTATAGATAACATCTTTGGTGGCTGCAACAAACTGAAGGAAACATTGTTTCTAATCCCCATTCTTGGTTATGGAAGTGCTGAAAGTAGTTGCAGGTGCTATTCCTCTATCTCTGCACTGTCATTTAAAAATGTGAGTGATCAAGCAACTGTCTTGGCTTGTACATTAAGGGCTGATTTTGTTCCTGGTACAAATGTCTTCATGTAGGAAGGTGGTATCCAAGATTAAAAATTTAGAAGAAGAGAGAAGAGGATGGACCAGCAAACATATCTAATGTTTTGTTCTTTGTATAATCATTGCCAGTATATTGTGTTGATCGTTTAACATCTTCATTGGAAGCAGTTCTGGTGAAATGTAACACCATTTCTTGCTTTGTTTCAAGGTCTACTCAAAGAAAAGGCTAACAGCACCCATTCCTAACTCAAGTACCATAAATAACAACCAATTGCATTTGATCAGGATCTGGAAACAGCATTTGAAGTGTACTAGTATTAACAATAACTGGTAATGTTGCAGTGATAATATAAAATTGAGATTATTAAAAGGAGCATCAGAAGAATCTGGACATGTCATCCGGTGCTGAAAATATATTAGTGCTATGAAGAAACTTAATTCCAGACAAGACTTCTCCATGTTTTTTGTTTGAAAATTGGTTTTGAAATATGTAAACTTTCAGCACATACAGCAGCTTTGACATCCAATCAGCATGGTGGTGGGCACCAGGAGCACAAAACCGTATTCCATGTTGGGGTTCTTTTGCTAAGAAAAGTGTAAGCTCTAACAGCTCAAGACAGTAATCTTGGGATATAGTATTGTTAATATTATACTCATTTTGCACAACTACTAATACAAAATCAATTGCCTGATTTTTAAGCACCAATATTTCCATTTAGTTTTTGCCTAATATGTTCACATGTATCATAATTTGATTTGTTTCTATATGGTTCTTGAAATCTCCTAAAAATCAATAGATTGGATGCTTATGTTAAACCAAATAAGGATTTGATATATCTCCACAAAGAACTTCTAGAGCATGATGTCTGCATGGCAAACATCGTAAAATATTGTTCAGTTTAAATTTAATCAGTAAAAAATATAAGCACCATTCAGCTGTTCTGTGTTGGCAGCTGTTGTTGCAAATGACATTACAGAACACTTTATTCTGAAGTTCCCACTTGATACGGACTGACTTATTTTCTCCTGATGCTCTAGCAACATTAAGAACTCCTAAAACCTAATCCTCTTTTGAATAGGGAAAAGCACTTTTTTTAAAAGAAAATAGTGCTAATTGGAGAGGACTCTGAGACAGTATTAATGAATTGCATTTTAGCTGACATTTTGCTCAGGTATCACTTGCATGAAAAGGAAAATTAAAGCATGTTTGAATTTTATTATTGTCTATTTTTCACTTTATGTTGTTAACCACCCTATATTGTACTTGTCTTTTAAAGGAAATAAGCTTTATCATTAACCAGCTATTGTTCAAAATATGGAATGTTTTCAAAACAGAGCTTTAGAAATAGTTCATAATTGAGAGCATATGTTTATATTAAATTAAATCACTGAAGTAATGATGGCATTTATCAGGCTATCACTGAGTTATATTTACTGGTATTTGTATAATACTTTTTTTTTTGTGATTTTTTTTTGTTTAAACAATTGGGATCAAAACGATGTCCCTAGAATTTGGACATCCAGGCAGTTTAGTGTTGCCTGCTTTGCCTGAACCAAATACCAGTCCTGCATACAGGATACTCTAAAAAAACACCTAAGTCTCTAATTTACTCTAAAGTTAAAAACATTGAAATGAATAACTTACTGCTGACAACACCTCCAGTTAAAGGGGATAGAACCCCCATTGCAATTATGGCTAAAGGAATCCAGCGACCTATGCGATGCTTTCGTAATCTCAGGAATGCGATAAGAGCTGCCACAATGTGAACAAACAGAGAAGAAAACAGGGCCCAGAGAAATACTTGGTACCATATTTCTGGGGAAAAAAATACTAATTATGATTTTCATTATAATATTATTTGCTCATACTATCACCATGTGAAAGCTGAAAATATATGAACATCTTCTATCTAAAATCTCAAAGCATAAAAATATGTAATTATAAGCTGTAAAATGAATAAAAATATTGCAAATAAAAGAATAAGTATGGACTGGTAATTAAGATTTACAATTTTTAGGCATGTAGTCATACACGCCAACCTGTACGGTTTAAATCATATTAATTTTTATGGCATGGCTTAACTTAACATCTTAACCCTTTCTAATACTAAAAGCGAGTTCCCCGGTGCAATCTTCTTCATTTTATAAGTATGTGTTATTTAGTGCCGAAATCACTGAGAATTGTATATTAATATTCTTTTTTATTTATTATGTTATTTTCCAGGTGGAAACTTCTAGCTTTAGGCTGATTTTTTAAAAAGAAAGTTGGAATTAAGACTCGAGCTGGTGAAGTTTCTTAGTAAGTGATTAGTGTCTGAAGAGTACCCTGGAAATATCAATACTTATCAATTGGATTAGTGCATTCCCTTTGCAAAAAAAAATTAAGTGCTTGCTTCAGGCTCTTATGACATTAAAGAACATTTTAAAACAAATATGCATTAAGGAAACTTTAAGGCCAGAAAGGAAATTTTACCTCTATTAATTAAGACATTTTTATTCTCAGTCCCATAGTAGATAAATAAGCGGATAAAGTTACCAGGGGAGAAATCTTATTTACAAATTTCAATCCAATCATGTCTATTGTCCATCCATCCCTGTGGCGCTACAGCCCATGTAGGGCTTTGGCCTGCCTCACCACTTCCTTCCACTCAGACCTAACTAATGCCTTTCTTTTCCATGCTTGGACTTTCAGCTGCTGTAGATCTTTTTCTACATCATCTATCCACCTAAGCCTAGGTCTGCCTTTGAGCCTTTTTCCTCTGGGGTATTGGTGATGTACCCTCTTTGTTCCTCTGTCATTTGGCATTCTCTCTAGGTGTCCTGCCCAGCGTAGCCTGCCTCTTTTTATTTCTGCCACTGTCGTGGGATCCTGATATAGACTGTATAATTCCTGGTTGGTTCGTATTCTCCATCCATATTCATCCTTTGTTGGCCCATATATTTTCCTGAGAACTTTCCTCTCCCATGTGTTGAATAGGTTTTCTGCTGTTTTTGTTAGGGTCCAAGTTTCACTTGCATATGTTACAACTGGTCTGATCACAATTTTATAAATAGTTTTCTTTGTTTCTCTTGTAATGTTCTTACTTTTGAGTATTTTCTGGCTACTGAAGTATGCCCTGTTTCCGGCTGATATTCTTTCTTTTATTTCTGTTAGTAATTCGTTTCTTTCATTTAACAAAGATCCTAGGTATTTGAATTGATTTACGTTTTCAAAAGTTTGGTTTCTAATTTTAATTGTTTCATCTGTTTGTTCCTCTCTTATCATGGACATGTATTTTGTTTTTTGGTTGTTAACTTCCAGCCCTGCTTGTAAAGATGCGTCTTCTAATTCAATAAAGGATTTTGATATGTCTTTTATACTTTTCATTATAAGTGCTATGTCACATGTCTATTGTACAGTGCAAAATTAACAATAACACTGGTATGGGTTTTCTAACTAATCGAGAAATTATCAAGAAAGCCAACTTAGCATAACTTATGGGGCACCATGGTATAGGAGAGAGAAATGAAAACGGCCAAAGACTGGCAGACTTCCGGTCGACTGAAAACGCTTCGCTTAAAGCGTTCGCGGTCCATTGTCTTTGGGTCAGAACGGCTTTCCTTCCTCTCCAGGGGGAAGGTGTTGCGTTACATCCTCCCACTGTCAAGGGAGTTGTCTGGTCGGGACGAAAGTGGGGACGAAGCAAAAACTCAAAGATTGGCTCTCACTCAACACATTGCATAAAATAAACTAGAGGAAAGAAATAAAGTGTGCAGTTAACAACAGCTGCACCATTGCAGTGAAAACAAAAGCACAAAAGAAATATAAAGAAGCAAATCGAAGGGTAAAGAACAGCATAAAATGGATAAAAGTGCTTAAAAAGATGGTCTAGCGTCAACAGCAGAAAAAGCAGCCATAGAGGTAAAAATGGAAGAGCTCTATGATATAACTAGAAAGCTCTCAGGAAGATACAACCTGCCAGAGAGACCAGTTAAAGACAAGGAAGGTATATCAATAACAAAAAGAACAACAAAGAAGTTGGGTGGAATACTTCATACAGATATACAACCAGCAAATGAAGATTTACAAATATTGCACAGTGCCCCAAATAAGTAAGAAATAGACCTGGTTATCAAACAGCTCAAAATAGGGAAAGCATCTGAACCTGACAACATCAAAACAGAGATGATGAGAGCGGATATAATACAATTAGTCTGAAAAAATATGAGAAGAAGAGAGAGTTCCAAATAATTGTAAAGAATGATACCATGTTAAGATACCAAAGAAAGGGGATCTCAGGAACTGCATAAACTACAGAGGAAATACAGAGGAAATACATTGCTGTCTGTTCCAGGAAAGGTCTTTAACAGAAATATTTTGAACAGAATGAAGAACCATCTACAAGATCAACAGGCTGTCTTCTTTAGAAACATCATGCACAGATCGAATTGCAACACTACGAATCATTGTAGAAAAGTCCATCAAATGCAACTCTCCCCTATGCCTATATCTAAATTTCATAGAGTACGAAAAGGCATTAGATAACATGGACCGACAAACTTGTGGCAAATTCTCTGGCATTATGGGTTACCAGGACAACTGGTCAGGAGCATGCAGAGTTCTTATGAAGAAATGTCATGCAGGGTGGTACATGAAGGTAGACTCACAGATGAATTTAAAGTGGAAACAGGAGTCAGATAAAAGATGTTTCTTGTCCCCCTTTCTATTCATCCTTGCCATTGACTGATTGATAGTTCATGCCATAGTGACAGTCATAGTCCATGTAGTAAGTAGTATCATATTATAGTACGACACAACTAACCTAACCACGACCGCTCTCATTGGAGTCATTGATACTAGTGTTACTAGTACTAGTTATACTAATTGTACTAGTTATGTTAAATAGTACTAGTACTAGTACAAACAAAACCATTTTCATTTCAAACAAGCCGAAGGCGAAGCCGAACCCGAATCAGCCGAATCAACTTGTCATTACTTGTCTTGATTGAAGTTGAAGAAAGTGAAAGTGAAAGCTTACCGAGACTCAACTTACCTACAAACGAATCAGGATCGTCATTGGGTGAAAGAGAAATAACATTGAGCACTGAATCGTGTGCTCCTGCCTGAAAATCTCTAGCCATTATTCATAGTCATATTTAAAAATTAAGACATTGAATTCATTGATCATTTAATATTTCCGAGTTCACTTCTACACTCAATTCCTCTTTTTTCGCTTCTTTTTCCTAAACATTTTCAAATATCCTCAGGAAAAGTCAATCTTTTTAATTTCCAAAATTTCTTATATTTATATTTTGTTTTTGAAAATACATAAATAAATAGTGGAACAAGATATATTTAGACTTGAAAAGAAAAGACAAGAGTAAAAATTAAATTTATTTATTTATTTATTATTATTTTAAAACTGTTTCCTTTTTTTTAAGTTAGCTTAAATTTCGTGTTCCATTATTAATGATTTATTTTGATTTCTCAATTTCAGTTAACTTAATAAGCGTTAAATAAATATTTAACAAGCAGTCATCTCAGTCAAGTCACGCAGATCAAAAGAAACATTGACATTGAAAATATGTTTTGGTATGTTTTGTTGTTGTTTTTAAAATTGTTATTTTTTTATTTTTAATAATTAATTGGGTTTCAATAAAATTTTAGTATTATAAACGCAATTTTCATTATGATTTTCATGTTTGATTTTCGTTGGCGGGTTAGGGATCACAAACCCCTTTTTTCGGGGGGGGGGGGGCGCCGGGCGCGGGACATGGGTGTCTACCTAGATAGAAGACTAACCTTGGAAAGTCACATTAACATGCTATGCAAGGCGGTTTTTTTAGAGCTGCGTAGGAGGTTTCAATAAAATTTTAGTTTTATAAACGCAATTTTCATTATGATTTTCATGTTTGATTTTCGTTGGGGGGTTAGGGATCACAAACCCCTTTTTTCGGGGGGGGGGGGGCGCCGGTCGCGGTACATGGGTGTCTACCTAGATAGAAGACTAACCTTGGAAAGTCACATTAACATGCTATGCAAGGCGATTTTTCTAGAGCTGCGTAGGATTAGTCACATCAGAGGATTAGTCACATCAGGCCTTCTTAACAATTGATGCAACAAAGAGGCTGATGTCTGCATTTGTGCTATCACGCATGGACTATTGCAATGCTCTCATGGTGGGTCTTCCAGCTACGCTCCTTGGTAAAATTCAAATAGCACAGAACAATGCGGCTGATGCAAACGCAAGTTCGACCATGCTAAAACACTTCTGAGAGAGCTGCACTGGCTGCCGGTCCGTGCTCGCATAGAGTACAAAATTGCAACGTTGTGCTACCGCTGCTTACATGACCTGTCGCCGTCCTATCTGAAAGAGCTGCTGGCGCCATATGTACCCACTAGACAACTCCGCTCACCCGATAGTGGCCTTGAGACTTACGGAAAGCGCACTTTCGCAATTGCTGGCCCAACAATTTGGAACACCCTTCCTGTCGAGATCAGAAACAACCAGACACTGGAGTCCTTCAAAACCGATTTAAAGACACATCTATTTCGCAAACACCTTCTGGGATGATTGTCTATCATATTTTCCAGTTAATGCATATTGGCTGTGTTGCTTAGGGTGACTTGGTATGCTTGTAATTAGTTTTGTAGTGTTGCGTTTGTTTTAAATGTGGTAAATTATAGGTTTTTTACTTTGTACCGCGCTTCGAGCCTTTGGGGATGAAGCGTGTTTTTTAAATAAACTTTATTACTATTATAAATTATATATTTTCTTACAAACATTTTAACACGTATTAAAATAATCACTTCAAAACTTTACTTAAAATTCAAAACATCAAATATATTATAATAATAATAATATATAAACTACTAAATTAGATTTTACTTTGCTGTCGTGTGTATTCTTTTTTTTTTTTCATCATGACGAAGCTCTTGTCTTGAATACCAAAAATGTCAACTATTTTGTGGAACAAAAATAGTGAACATAATCATTATGTGAAAGAAGCGAACGGTCCGCTCAAATAGTGGACACCTGGGAACATTATTTCCTCGTACTCATGGTAAATTTTCTAGACGATTAGAAATGCCAACATGCAGTTCAAAGAAGTTGTTCTCAAAGTGGGGTGGACCAAGCGGGCGCTGAAAGGTTTGTGAGACTTGGGCGTGGGGGAGGGGGGGCACTGGACGTATCAAATAGGGGGCGCTTATGAATTTATCGGGAATACTGTACGCTTTATTTTACTTGAAATAAATATTTAAAAACAAGTATACACTGCTTTGATTGTCTGCATAAGTTCTTTGATCCAACTATTCAATGGGAGTACCAGAGATCATTAACGCCAATATACTTTATATATAGCTCGAGGGTGTGAAATAATAAGTTTGTTAGTATGCGATAGTCTTTGCAAATCAGATTTAGACAATCGAGCATATTTTCAATGCTCCTCGTCAAAATGATGATCGCTTGCGTGCACAATACGGTAAATCAGGAAAATAACAAACCATCGGGTAAGAACTCATTCTAACATTTTTAGTGAGGTTCTGGGTCATCCGCGTGCGTGGCACGTGCGCTAAAAAAAAAAGTCTTCTTATCGACCCCCTTCTCCCCTGTTGCAAACGTACTTAGTAGGATCCCCCCCCCCTTGCATAGGTACAAGGACCTTTTTGGATTCCACCCGCCCCCCCCCCTATGCATAGGTACAAGNCCCCCCATGCATAGGTACAAGGACCTTTTTGGATTCCACCCGCCGCCCCCCCCCTTTTCCATAATGAAAGAAACGTACAAATTCAATTTATTTGACATTATATTATGTATATGACGTCACAAATGTGTTACAAGTTTTCACCGCTGTCCGTCTGGCGATCCCAGTGGTTCACAGATTATGCGTCGCCCTGAGGTGCCGGGTTGCTCTCGGGCAGGTCCATGAGAAAGGGGGGGGGAGCCCAGGGTGCCCTTCCGTTGACACAGTGCACATTGAGAACGGCGAAATGCCTGCAACAGTAAACAGCTTAGCTGTTTCACGGGGCTGTCGTCTTATTTAATCTCTCTTGGAATTGTTCTGCCACCTTTTTGAACTCGGTTCCCATTCACAACCAAGAGGGAAACTCATAGTCACCTGTTCATACTTTTTTTTTCTCCGGTGAGAGACCTGTTTCCAACAACAAATACCAACATATATTATTTTTCAATACTAGAAATAAATGGCAGCTGGAGCAATGCACCATTGACAAAAGCATATGCACGTTCAGGATGCTGGAGTTTTAATACTAATATTTTTGGCGCATGCTGTGCTTGCAGTTTGATTAAATATCATAATATATTTTACACCTCTTTATTGCATTGTGTCAATATTTTAGTAGAGGATCGTCCAAGATATTTTTCTGAGATTGCGCTAAAAATGAGGGTAGGACCGGGGGGTGGGGGGGGGCAGGGGCTTCATTTCAGTTTGTTTTTCAGGTGGTTGGGGGGGAGGGACAAAACTTGGTCAGCTTGTTAAATTGTTTATTTCTGGAGACGCCACAGTACATAGCAATTTAAATGAAACCTGCAAATTAATGTAAAAAAAAAAGGGGGGGGGGGAATGCTACACCTTTCCCTACCCAAATGATGGCTCTTTGGGGGGGGGGGGTGATGCTAAGGCAAGGATGAGTTTATAGCCCCCAAGGAGTGATGGTCGGAAAAGATTTGAGAACCACTGCTCTAAATTCGTATGTCACATATTATTATTATAATATTATTATTTTTACAAAACGTATTCTAACATGCATCGTACTTTTTTTTTTTATTTACAATAAAATCTCATTCAAATATTGAATGGTATACATTACCAAGAACCTAAATCTATTTAAAGTAACTGTGTAACGTTCCACGTGACGAGGTTAACCCTCTATTGCGCTTCAGGTCACAAATGATTGGTTAAAATTTTATATTTATATTAGCAACACAGTCAAAATCCTATTCTCAAGCGTACCCGGTTAATCCGGTAAAATGGATGCAACAAAACAGGACCCTTTTGTCAATGATTCATATTTTTGGACATTATTAAGGTGAGATTTTTATGTGTGTTCAGATAAGCCTATACTTTATACTATTATAGTGAGCATAGGCAAGGCTACGGAATTAGTAATTTATTAGTAAGTAGGTTAGTAGGCGGTTGGCCTAATTTTTAATTAAAATAATTTATCTTATTTAGTGCCTAATGCCTAATCAATCATCAATAAATAATCATATGCCAGCTATCATCATGAAATTATGTCAGATCAAGCCAAGTGACTGAAATTCAATAAAGTCAATAATCTGTTTGGCCGCCCTAGTCCTACTTAGACTAAGTACCGTAGCCGTAACAATCTAAGATTTTAAGATATGACCGACTGTGACTGTGACAGTGATAGTGTGTGACTTTGAATTGAGTATGGGCATGGGATGGGCGTTAATGGCATTATTAAATTTGAACATGGCATTGCATGGAAAACTTGTGGAATATTTCAGTTTCACCTCAGATATTAAGCCAAGTCACTATTGTCAGCAAATTTAATTATTTGAACGGTGTGGCTTGGGCTCTGGATATCATCTGCTCTTATACTTATAGGGCCTATATATTTTGCCCCTGGTGCTACCTGCTTCCTCTTCATAACCTCCCCCCCCCCCCACCACTTGACATGTTTATATTAAAAGTACAGAGTGAAAAAAAAAAGGATGGAACGCCGGGGGGGGGGGGGGGGGGTAGGCGACTGTGATATTATTTATTATTTTGTCTTACTTTATAGTATAATTCAGTCAAAATAAATTGACGTAAAATTTTAACGTGAACTGAAAAAAATATTGGAACAAATTTCCCTTTGATCAAATTTCCATCGACAAAATTTCTTTAAACAAATTTGAGATATTTGTCAGTCAGCCTTGTCACGTCACCGCTAATAGTCGATCAGAGTTTACATTGTTGGGTCGCCTTAGACACTGCCTTGTTTCTATCGAAGCGAACCGCAATCTATAAATTATTCTTCAATCACCAATTGATCCGATCATGATTCATCCTTTTACTAGGCTAAAAAATAATTCATTTGTCCTATGATTTGTTTTTTTGTTAAAGCTTTTCTTAATTAAATGGATAAATCTTTTGATAGTGGTGGGTACAATGATATTAATAAACTTATTTTAACACAAAAAAAAACAACTGCAGCTAAAGCAGTGAATCTTCGACACCCATGTCTAATTTCTTTGCTAAGGAATCGGACGATTCACTTATCAGATCGGAAGTTTTATTTACCACTTTTCTTATTGAAGGAAATATTTCTCTTGCCAACTCCGATAGTTTTAATGCCAGAGTCAAAGAAATGTTTCCAGACTTGCAGATTGCTAGAAGATTGTGAAGAAAAATTACAATGAAACAAGCAGGGGCAAGCATGAAAGTTGATACTCTTTCTAACTTGCTTGTAACTAAAATCAACTGCAGTAATAACCTTCAGTTGTTCAAAGAGATGTTGGAAAAGTGCAAATAGGCCACTAGGGATATGGTTTAAACCCCCCCTTTTCCATCACTACAGATGTTTTCCTTGGTCTGTGACCTGCCCCCCCCTCCCCCCAATAAAAAAATCATCACTAAATTGTAACACAGACATTTTTGTCAAACACCATCAAAAATTTGTGATTTTCTTTCCATTTGTATGTCTGCCATTGTAAGGGATGGCTCCTAAACACAAATATTTTTTCAATAAAATGTTTTACAATTGTATTTTTATTTTAATTCAATAGCTTTTATTAAGTTTTATAAAACCATCTGAATAGATTCCACTATTTGAAATTGAATTGTAATAACAGTGCAAAATGAATTTGAAAGGATTGATAATGAAGCAACTGGGTTGGTTCTTTTGTATGATGCTACTACTGAATATAAGTAACAGTGAGTTCATTTGGAAAAAATTGATTCCATGAAAAATGCAGAAGATAATTTAATACCTGATGCCTGTACCCGGTATCTGTAAAAATTGAAGGTTGAAACCTACACAGAGTTACTAGATTGTGTCATAAATAAACATTGGAAATTTTTAAAAATGCTTATCTGACTCCATATCATTGAGCTATTTCAATCTCAATTTACGATTGAAAGAAAGTTTGGTAGTGGATTGGATAAATAATTTATCAAAGAAATGATGCCTTGACAAAAAAAGCTTTTGAAAATTGTCAACTTTAACAGGCTAGTGTCATGAAAAATATTATTAGTAAAATTAAAATACTGTTAACAGGGTTGGGCTTATCAACTTTGGCACCCCTTCCTCCTACAAATATTCAGGTCAACATCAACTGTTAATAATTTAAAGGGTGCTTTTGGAGAAGACAGAAATTAATATAGTCCTAATATTAAAATATGTCTTATTCTGCCAAGTATAATCAATAAAGCATAAACTATAATTTAGATTTCAAATAGAAAATTAAAACTAACCAGTTTGGAATGAACATTTCCTTTATTGAAAAGGTGTAGCTTTTAACACTAACAAGAAAAAATCCCTACATTTAATACAGTTAATATGCAATTTTTAAATTTCCAAATATTTAAGGGGCATCATAACTACTATACTATTCTACCATGAATTTTTCCTGACTTTTGGGATAGTAAATCTAGTCAACTTGCAACATCATTCTCAATAGACAACAAAGCCAGAGAATTGATTTTTTTTTCCTGAGTCATAGATGCTCTTTAAAAAATAGAATTTAATTTTTTAAGAAAAACTTCTGTTTCTATTTGCAACACTGACTGGAATGTCAGAAAATTTTGAAGAGAAATGAATATATTTGTAAAACCCTCTAGACATTGATTAATGTGTAAAAATGTAAGAACTTTCAGTGGTGATTTTTTTTCCCTTGGCAGCCAATGTAAAAATATAAATATGTCTTAAATAATTCAAATCCTTCAAAACGTTCTGTCTAAGAATTAATAGCAGTAAAAACTATGATATTGAAATTTTTCAACATGATAATGATAACAGGCTTCAGGATTGTCAATAGATCAAATTCATAATTAAACTGCCTTTCTTGTGAAGAACTTGCTTTGTTGTAGGGAAAGGACTTGCCCTAACATCAATATTTTCTGCAAGTTTCTTTGCTGCTTTATGTTCAGAAAACCTTTTTCTCTGACTACTGAATGTATTAAAAATATGTGTGCTTCTTACATAAGTTTAATAACATTAACATTTTAAAGCAAAAACCAATGAGTAAAAATAACAATTAAATTAAACTATACTGTAATGATGTAACAATCTACATATTTTGTGTGTGTGACCCCAGGGTCTTATTGCTACGCATTCCATTACCCCACTAATCATTTTCTTTAACATTTTTTGTTGTTACATCAGGATTTACCAAATTTTGAACTATTAAAAATATCTTGAGTTAATTCTGTGTAACTAATTCAACTTTAGTCACTGATAATTAATTACAAATATTGTTGACCTAATTGTGTTTTTTTTGTTTTTTTTGCAGAGAAATCCTTGTCATGAAATTTGACATCAGTAAAATGGCACAACAAAAGAACAAGGATCAAAAGCAGGTTTTCCTGGAGGATCAGAAACAGCTTTTCCAGGATGATCAGAAACAGCTTTTTCTGGAGGATCAGAAGCAGCTTTACCAGGAGGATCAGAAGCAGCTTTTCCAGAAGGATCAGAAGCAGCTTTTCCAGGAGGATCAGAAACAGCTTTTCCTGGAGGATAAGAAACAGCTTTTCCCGGAGGACCAAAAACAGTTTTTTCTGATCCACCTGCTACCGCTTCATCTAAATCTGATAGTCCTTGGGATTCTGGTGACTTTATTCAAATGGCAACTCCTCAGTGAGTCACAGGATAAGGAAAGTCACTCTATTAACGAGCATCAACAAAGCATTGATGTGGCTATTGATGAAGATCAGTTGAGAGTCACAGGTATAAGCTTTGAAACCTTCACTCAATCACATGAGAAGATAATATCAGTGCCAACTTTACCATTACAGTCGTCGAAAACAGCTGACCCTAAGTTTTCCCTGGTGATCAATGAGAACTTAAAGCAACAGACAGAGAAAAACATTGACTTCTTTATCAGACAATCCAAGTTTGGTTTGTGTGAAAATCACATCCACCAAACAAATATCATAAGCAGCCCAAACAATGAGCTGCCGTACTTTGTGCCAGTGTCAGCATAGCTGGCCTTTGGACACTCAGGGATCTAAAAGAGACCCTGTTAACAGCGAAAAAGCCTGGCTTGATTTTGCTGTTCGGCTTCTGTCTAGAGAGGTGGTGGGAAAAGGCAGAGGTCAAGAAACTGTGTGGAGTGAAAGGTGTAAACCTGTTTGGTGGGATGAGCAAGTTGGTCTTCCTTGGAAGAACCCAACTTCAAATCCCAAAGATACAAAAGACATTTTGCAGAAAAAGTACTCAGTGTTGGAGAAATATTTATCTGCAGATGGTAGGTTTCCTAGAGAGCTTGAAGAGGAGGCCAAGTTATGGAATGAAGGCAAGATTAAAGAACTTTTTCTCTTAACAACACTGACCAGCTTACTGGGGAAAGTAACTGGTTTACATGTTGCAGTTGTTGATGCATGTCAGCAAGTTGACATAATGAAGGCAGGGGTTAACAATTATTTATTGAGAGACATCAAGCAGTGCCTGACTGCCACACTCAAGGAAACAGAAAATTTTAAAGTTAGCAATGCACAACCTAACATGCTACCTGGTAAAGAAAATAATGTTAAACCCTCAAAACGCAGAAGAGTTGAACCTGCTACTAATAAACCATCTGAAACTACTACCCTGACCTTGAAAAAGGTTTTAATATCTCCAAAGTATAAGAAAGTTGAAGATGTTGCCCCTAATCCAACTTCATCCTTACAAAAAGAATCAATAAATCATACGCCAGATCCCAAAAAACAGGAGGAGATTTTAGCTGTAGCTCAGAAGATTTTGGGTAAGAGAAGAAATCAGTCAGTCAATGCTAGAGTTAGAGGAAAGTTTGTAGAGAATATCTTACCAAAACCACACGAGTCTGTGGCTATAATTAATTTGCCACCAGTATATAGTCTGACAACTTTGCCCCCAGTGAAGGGAAATGCATGCATATCCATGGAACCTAACAGCCTCTTAAAAGTCATCAGCCCAATTTCTCTTGTTCAGATAACAGATCCTGAAAACACCGGGCATTTTTTAAATACACGCTCAACACATTCCCTCACTCCTGTAAATTTTAGTTCATTAAACCTGCAAGATGTGTCTCAAACAAGTAAACATAATTTATTAAATGATGGCAGAAACAGTGGAATATCAATACATTTGTATAGTTCTTCTGAAAGCTCAATTGCCACTGCAATCCAAGATTCGAATCCTTCACCCTTTGTCTGTGCTCTCAATAGTCCCAATACTTCTTCTCTAGGCAGCTCACCAACTTCATTCTCATCCATTGCAAGGAGTGAAGACATCACAAGCTTAGGGGGTTGTAGCAGAAGCAATATTGACCCTATAGAGAATGTTTTTCTCTCTTACCCTGTGCTAACAATATCAGGGTCTGAAACTCCCATGGATAGGGTGGCCACATTTAGTGATGCAAGTTTGGCTGTGTTAAACAACAGCTGCTCCACTGATAGTGGTTTCAGTGATTCTGATTTCTCAGATGCAAGTCAATGTGGTCAAGGTCACATGTTTGAAAATGTGATTGATAGGTTGGGCTTGGATGAAATGTCACCTTATCTGTGGCAAGAAGATGGTTCATTACATTTGGACAGATTTTTGGACGATTTGGATTAATTAAAATAGAAATTATGTTCTTTTCTATTTCAAACATTGTAAATATTCAATTATAGTTGTTGTTTTTTTTTTTGTTTTTTTTGTTGTTACTATTTTCCATCTTTATTTCAAGATTGAATTTGGATCTACACAAATTTAATACTTAAAATTAGCTTATGTGAAGAAAAATAAGAGATAAATGAAGTCAATAGTTAACACTATATGTCTTCAAAGTAATGACATTTGGTGGGAGCCCTTGCCTTCATTATTTTGCATGCAACTGTTTTATATTTTGCATTTTAAATTTAATTAATGTAGAAAGCTTGTATTTTAATTTTATAACATAGCTCTTTCATTGTATTATTATGTCTTTACCCTGTGATCTAATTTACAACAAATAGATTTGTCTCAGATACCCGGTAAATCAATAAATGATATTATCTGTCACATTTTTAAAGGGATGGAATTCAACTGAAAAAACAAATTGAACTATATTTTTCTTGCATTGAAATTACTTGAGCATTAGTTTAAGCTGTTCTTTTTTTTTTTTAAATGTTAAGCGAATTTGTTTAAAGAAGTAAAAGAAAAGATAAATATTTGGTTTTAATAACTTAATAACTAGGAAACATGTTGATGAGTATTTGTGTTCTAGTAATAATTAATTTTATATAGTTAGTGTAACTTGCAAATAAAATTACTTAGCTCCAAAAATGTTTAGTGCATTGTCAGTTTATGTTCATTTAATTATAATATTGTGGTTCTTTATGAGGGATGGGGTTTGGCCCAGTGGGAGATGGTTTGGCTCAGTAAGCTGTAAAGTATTCACTGGGTTATGGGGGCGCTCGGATTGTTTACCAGAGCACTGGTAAATTATATTAGGAAAACTGTTTTTAATTTAAAAAGAAAATTTTATTTTTACATGGACAACATTAAAATATAAAATAGTATTTTGAATGTTGGCATTAAAAAAAAGAGTCACAGAAAGACATTTATTTCACCACCACTAGAAAAGACCTTTGATCTAAGCAGCTGTAAAAATAAATCCATTTTTTTTTATGTACAATGGGCCAATGAGCAGACAACAAAGTATTATTTATTTTCACTTATTTGTGTTAATTGCTTTTTGCTGACACACCCTTTGTTTTGTCTTGACTAGTGTTCGTTCCCCCACATCATAATAAACCTTATTTTCTATCATTTCTTTTACGGTATGTCTGTTTTCATGAGAGATTCGTATAAATCTTTTTTTTTTCCAGAATTAAGATAAAACGATATTGTGTAAAAAGTGATAAATTGTCAAAATGATCATTTGACAAAAAGGTCGGTTGGAAAAAAGATCAGTTGGCAACAAAAAGGCCGGTTGACAAAAAGATCATCTGACAAAAAGATCACCATGAATGACTGAGTTTGCAACGTTATTTTCTTGTCTATTAAAAACCAAAGAAAATGTCAAATCTTAAACTACCGCACCGTAATCATGGTTTCGACATTTATCTCAGGATTTATGTCAGGTAAATACCTCCCCACCTGCTCGGGTACACACCTCCCCTCCTGGTCGGGAGTAACTGGCCAAAAAAATCGCCCTTTCAATATTCATTAACAATATGGGCAACTTGATTCCATTAGAAGCATGAGGTCCCCTAGAAGCGTAAGGCCTTGGGGAAACTTCCCAGAGTGCCCATGCCTTAAAGACGGCCATGAGCCTACTGTTGCATCACCTTATACTTATAGTCTACTAGTTCCTATTATTGGACAAGGGTAATTTAAAATCATTAGCTAAAATCTATACATTCAATTTTTCTGTTCAGACCCAGTTCAACGAAATGAGGTGGGGGGGGGGGGAATACAGCAGTAGCAAGGATAGACAAAAATGGTTGTTAGTCATCAAATGGTTGCAATGGACAGGCTATTGTCTTTTTAAAACATTAGAATGACAGCATATCTTTTTGGTCGACCTTGTTTAAGTCCTCTGGGTAAGCATTAATAAGTTGTTTTTTTTAACAATCCTGAAAAAAACAAACCCCTGCCAGTGCCATTTTCAGATGTTGACGAGGTGATAGTAATAGTAGTATGTGGCACAGTCTTTAGTATGGAATAATAGTATGTGGCACAGTCTTTAGTATGGAATAATAGTATGTGGCACAGTCTTTAGTATGGAATAATAGTATGTGGCACAGTCTTTAGTATGGAATAATAGTATGTGGCAAAGTCTTTAGTATGGAATAATAGTATGTGGCACAGTCTTTAGTATGGAATAATAGTACGTGGCACAGTCTTTAGTATGGAATAATAGTATGTGGCACAGTCTTTAGTATGGAAAATCTCTGTTTACGAGGTGATAGTAATAGTATGTGGCACAGTCTTTAGTATGGAAAATCTCTGTTTACGAAGTAATAGTAATAGTATGTGGCACAGTCGTTAGTATGGAAAATCTCTATGTAACTTTAGATAGCTCCCCTCCTTTTCTCATCTCAGTTTGTAGTGTAGCCTATCAGTAATTGCAGGATAGGTGTACGGTTGTAGGCAAAGTTTGTCTCTCGCATTTAGTTGCACCTCTGGTCCATCACCTGTCTTTGATACTTTCTTTCTGCCATATTTCAAGAAAGCTTCTAATCCAGATCTGGTATGATTGCTATAGTAGCCGTTTCCAGTGGCGTAGCTAGGATTGGTGTCAACCGGTGCGGGGTGTCGCACCCCCCACGCCCCCTTTTGACTTCCACGATGGATATCTTCTTTGTTTAAAAAAGTCCACAGTATAACGACAAGAACTAAAAAAATTAATTAGAGGTCGGGAGATCAATGTATTTAAGAAATGTACCAACTTAAAGTTTTAGTTATATTTACATTAAACTTACTTAATTTAAAAAAAATATTTCCTGGTTATCAAAGTTGAAAACCTTTCAATCACTTGATCAAAATAATATCCTTCACTGTATCACTTTTAATTGATAGTAGAGCCAGATCAGAAAGCTTGACTGTCCCATTGTAGATATCAAGAACTACTTACGATCTACAATGGGATCAAGAACTATTTACGAAGCCTTTGTTTTGGAAAGCTCTGCTCAAAAGAAGCCACAGAAACAATTTGTAAGAAACAATCAAAGACTTAGTGAGAGTATTGGAAGAGAAATCCCATTCAGCTATGAATTTTAAAACATCAAATACTGACCACTCCATGACTTTGTGAAATTCAATATCACCTGCCTTTAAGCGTCTTCTGAGCCTTTGTATTAATTTTAAAAGTTCATCCTCTGATAATTCATCATAGAAATTTGAAAGAGGTTACTTTTGGAACGGAAAACATTTACTCTCCTTCACTTGGGTTGAACACCCCCAAACATATCTGCTATTTCCTTGATCGCTGATGATCTGATCTGGAGCTCAGAATGAAAGCGATGAATACACCCCCCCCCCCCCCCCCTCCCCCCC